AATTATTTTTGGCAAATTGTCTGAAACTTCACACACAATCAAATGCTTTTTCACTATCTGAAAAGAAGTGAAAAGGTCTTAGTTTCAAAAAACATTAAAAATCTTTATGAACGTTAACTTTTTTTTCTTGTGCTGCTATATTTGATTTGGAACTCGCGTGTGAAAATGTCTAAAACTTGACACAAATTCGGATGCGATTTCACTGCCAGTGAAAGTCAACAAGACTCTTCTTTTTCAGGGTACCCCACACAACCCACACAGTTAGATGTTGACTTGCGCAGTCATCATTGGAGCATTGCTGTCTATAGTAATGCCAATAGACACTGGCATCTTTCCTGACCTCTGGTTGTTGTATGGATGGATCACATCTTTCAAACTGGCATACAATAATGTACCCAAATGCCTGACTTCCACAACAACCTATTCTTCATCACTGCCCTCACCCTCATTGCTTCTATCCTCCTTGGTCCTCAACAACTTGTTTTATTACTACAACCTGATTTTCTGATGCACTCATATCACTATCATCAATATTTCTGAAATAAGTACAGATTTGTCTCTCCATCTTCCAAAAATCTTACAAAAATGAACCTAAAACACATGCATAAAGGCTATAATACTGCCCGCCAATGCTGGTCAATAGTGCCAGCTACACAAAATATGCATCACATAATAGGACTTTGTCAGTTATGCATGACGCTCAGATTTGTTGGTCTCTGAGTTGTTGTTTTTATAAAAGTGCATTAAAAATAACAAAAAACCTTAGAAAACACATTTGGATGTGCAATTATATTTTTTATAACTTGAATTTATATGTATTTTATAATCTAAAATGAGCTCACTATGGAGCCTTGAAAGCATGTGACCTAACATGTGCTAATGTTTCCTTTACTACTTATTTACCAAAAATGTGAAGCACATGGCTAATAAATTTTAATTTTACTGGTTGAAGGGGATGTCATTTGACATCACTAAAACAAAATTTTGTTGGTTGAACATTAATATTGTACTTTAAATGCAATTTTCTTAGTGTCATTTATAAATGACGATATCCCATAGAGGGTTAAGCCATGTTGCTGCTGTTGTTTTTCTTCCAGTGACCTCAACCAATGCCTTGCTCTCTCATTGGCTGTAGCTCGTCACAACACCTGACACCACGTGATGTCGAGTCGGCCGACCGGTCCAGATATTTAGCATGCTAGATATTTGTTTGCCATCGGCGACGCATCAGCGAGCCTCTTTGATGCATCATTGAGTAGTTCACATAAAGATTGCCGAGCGCGATCACCCGCTAATTTTCCCCCAATCACAGCCCGACCTGTCGGTGAGCTCGTTAACTTGCAAATCGGGCTTAAAATCCTGTAGTGTGAACTTAACATAACTGGACCGGTCGGCCGACTCAACATCACGTGGTGTCAAGTGTCGTGACGAGCTACAGCCAATGAGAGAGCAAGGCATGAGTTGAGGTCAGCGGAAGAAAAACTGCAGCAGCAACACGGCTTTAAGAAAAGTTTGGACACAAGAAATGGAGCGATTTGTTTCATCACGCAAACAGCTTGCAGCACTAATTTCTTCCCGATGTTCATTTTAAAATAAACAACTCCTGTTTCACTTGCTGTTTCGTGTCATTCCCATTCAACTTCTCGTGTGTGTTTTCGTGATAAAACGTGGTTTGGGGACGGGATAGAGTCGTTGGGTGACAGAGTTGTTGTCAGCTTGTGTAGTGTGTGACCCCCTGTTGCGGATCATTTATGTAGTGTCGCACAGTGTGAACACCACAACGACTTCAAGACAGACAATCAAGTCATGTAGTCTGAACAGCACAGCGATCTGCCAACGTTTAAAGTCGTGTAGTGTGAACTTGGCTTTAGTTTGCAGTCAGGTGTAGTCTGTGCGGTGTGTTCGAGCACAGCTTTTTGTCCAGACGCTGCCGACGCAAGACGACAACACCGTCGGCTTTCGTCGACGCTAGTTCTTTGAAGTCGGCTTGGTGTGCCCCGGCCTTTAGAGTTTATCCGAGGATAGTGTAACAGATCACACGCACCTGCAGCGCTTCTGTGAACGGAGAAAACAGAATAAAACGATAGGCTTACATAAAAAGGAACATATAGGCATATACACAAAATATATTTCACTTAAATCATTGACAGATTAACAAAACGAAAGAAAAAAAATGTGCTGAGTTTCGGTTCATTGAGGCAATCCAAAGTTCTCGGAAAGGAAAACTAGATGGCAGAAAGTAGTTTTCTTTATTTTACAAAAGCTTTACAGTTTTATTTATTTTACAGTTTATTTTGCAAAAGTTTTGAATGATGTCTTGCTTGTATGACCATATCGCTCTGTCGCCTCACACACAACATATTTTTGCGACATTGCAGCCTGTTCATTATCAAAATAAAATACAGAAACGTAAGAAATAAATTAAAGCCGCCTCACTGTGCTGATATAGCCGATGTGAAGGATGATGTTTTACATTGATGCGAGTAAAGTATGGTCATGGCCAAAAGTTTTGGCAGTGACAAATTTTGTGTTTTGCAAAGTATGCTGCTTCAGTATTTGTAGATTATTTTTCCACATGTTTCCAATGCATACTGAAAAACAATGATAAGCATATCATAAGTTTTATTGGCAAAAGATATAACGAGTCAGTATTTACAGTGTTGACCCTTGTTCTTCATAACCTCTGCAATTCGCTCTGGCATGCTGGATATCGTTGGGATTGAGATCCGGGGATTTGCCTGGCCACGGATCCAAAATTTGAATGTAATGATCTTCGAGCCACTTTTTTATCACTCTTGCTTTGTGACATTCTGCTCCATCATGCTGGAAAATGCACAGATCATCACCAAATATCTCATGGATCGTTGGAAGAAGTCGCTCTTGCAGGACGTTTTGATACCATGAGGCCAGCCCAGAAGCTAATATCCAGCATGCCAGAGCGAATTGCAGAGGTTATGAAGAACAAGGGTCAACACTATAAATACTGACTCATTATATTCATGGCAGTGTTCTTGGGCAGAATTATGAGAGAGCCCTCTCACTTGGTTGAAAAGCAACCCCACACATGGATGGTCTCAAGCTTTTAGCAATTATTTAAAATGCATCTGATCACTCTACACAATAATCTAGAAACAATGTGAATGAACACCACAACAGCTTAAGCAGCAAAACACAAAATTTATGTCACTGCCAAAACTTTTGGCCATGACTACAAAGCCGAGCCTATAATAAATAATATTTTAGCATCCAGATATGTCGCGAATATGTAAACATTTGGATTCGTGCCGAATGAGAGAGGTAGGCATCAGTTTCACCTTAAATTCATTTGTTTTTGGATTGAAGTTTTTATAGCCTAAATGCATAGCCTTAACTTTAGAGGATTTGTTGTGGAGAGAAACTAATAACGGTATTTATAACGTTTGTAAACATTTTGCTTTACCGGCATTTTAGCCTACATTATTTCTGAATTTAATAATAAAATGCGATGTGAGCCTAGCCTACGCGAGCGACTTCTGTGTTTTTTTTACTCTCAAAACGCAATATTATAGGCTACAAGTAGCGTTTTTTTTTAAACAATGCAGCAAACATTTTTAATCTTAAAAAATACTTTAATGTCTTTAAAGTGTTAATAGATTTTTTATTTTGTTTAGTAGCCTACATTTGGCCAAAATCTAGAAAAGATGATGCTGTAGCCTATTGGCCATGACTAAGCACAGTGGGTTAAGATACCAGATTATTTTTTTTTTGAGTAAAGAAAACGCTGTACTTTATTATTATCATTATTATTATTAGCCTATTATAGGCAAAGAAAAATGTTTTAAAAAAATTACGTTATTAACCGGTATTTCTTCTTCTCGAACCGGTTTCGGAACGGTAATAATACAGAGGAATGCAGGAACAGAAACGTTAAAAATATTGATTCTGCTCGGAGTGAACCGATATAATTTTTTTTTTCAAGCCCTGTTTATAATTAATATTAGTTATATCAAATTTTGAAGAGACTTTTATTTTCTGAGTGAATGTATGAGCCTTGTATAGTCCAAGCCAAATTAATATATTTACATGTCTTTATGACTAGATGAGGAATTTACTAAATTTAAACGAATTGCCACCACTGATTGCAATTACATATTTGCACCAAAATCTCAATGACTCCATGGCCATCTTAGTAATGTCAAATCACTCGAAAAATTCGAGCTTAAAAAGCATCTTCTAAAAAAAATCTTTTTACAATGCTAAATGTGTGCTTGTAATCATGTCTGGATTTGTTCCCGGTTGCGTCACTTATAAAGTTCAGTTGTAAATTTATTTTCATTACATTTCACTAAAACAGACACAAACTTCACTTTTAAACAAAATGTTGACTGCTTTTTGCAAGTTGTAATAGCACAACATTATATCACCATGAAATCAAAATTGACAATTTTGTAGTATTTATAAAAGATTGATAATTTTTTTCTTTGAAAAGCCATGCATCTTCATAATCTTTAATCAAAAACATTAACATTCCCGTTGCCTTGCAAAGACATCCCATGATGACAAACACCAGCACAAGGGCTGGACAAAAACGGTTGTCCACTGGCCAGATGAGTTTCAATCCTTTCCCTCTAGCAACCAGTCACTCACAAGAAACGATCGCAAAAATGAGCAAACGGCAACGGTCTAATCAATTCCCGATGGACAAATGCAAGTCCCCATATTTGTTTCTCATTTGAGAAGCTGTGTCATTTGGATAAACGTCATAAAAGTGAAGAAAAAATTGTTGCAATTTCCATTTTATGCAAACTTTAATTAGCACTGGCTTTTAGGATAAAAAGTCTTTTGGAATATAGCACAATCCATAGCAATACAAATTTACACTTAAAGGTGGCGTGTTGTGCTGAAAATGACTGAATTACAAACAGAGTGGCACAGCTATTTAGTGAATTCACCCCTATGGCTTTACATATGTGTTGTACATAATCTGGCTGGGTCTGTTTTGTGAACTGGTGCAACAGTACCTGTCCTGGCACTCCTCTGTTTGATGGTGGTCCAGGCTGGAGCGAGGGAACTGTTTGAGGCAGTAGCTGCACTCAGAGGGCAGTTCACTCACGGCTTTCTCCACCGCCAGGTTCCTGCAACACAGACTCTTACTGATCTCACAGCGGCAGTTGGGACATGTGGCCTGCTCCTCTTTTAGACGCGCGTCAGCAAGCAGGTGGATGAAGCAGCCTGCGCACATCAGGTGCCCATTTGTACACTGTGAAATGAGAGCACATCTTCACAGAGCTGAAACATTTTCACAAAGCGTTTTTACACTAAACACAATGTATGTGTTCTTCTCAAGGAGCGTGTTTTTAATAAATGTACTGTTCTTGTTATGATGGAATTTCCTAATTTTCCCCAAAAAGACACAAAGTAGTAGTTTCCTGAATGATTTAAGGAGAAATAAAGAACCTCAATTTTGCTGCATCTGTACAACCGCTTGAATGTAATGTGGCAATGACAGCATGTTCATCTTTAAAAAGATCATATCACAAGCAAAGACATTTTACTTAGAAGCATTACATACTATGAAAACTTTGTGACGTCACTTATGAAATGCATCAACACAGACGTCCACATTTACACATCAGTGAAGCCTACTGGGTGCCAAGTCACTGTGAGGTAATAAGGTAATTATTATTCCTAAACACAACTAAGTATAATCTAAATAAATTAAAAAATAATGTAAAAAATGCTTGTCAAACCTTGGGCTGTTCCCGCAGTGTGTGGTGCCTTCTGCTCTGAATACACTTCCATAAAGATCCCAAAGATTATCAAAGAGTCGCTGAAGTTTTTTTTTTTAGCAAGAACCCAATTCATTTCAGTCCGAAATTAACAGTATGTGCAGAGCATTTCAGCACAGAGAAAATGCTTAGCACTTTTGCTTAAGTGGATCTTAATGGGAAAAAGAATAATAATTATGAATAATAAAAAAATACCTATTCAGGGTAAGAGAGAGTTATTACGAAACCAGTTTCAAAACCTTTCATTCCTTGTATAAAAATGTACTCTTACAGTCGTCAATTGCTTTTATCTCATTTGTGTCTAACATAGCAATTTCAGTTTATACTTTATTTCAAGGTGTCCTTGTTACAGTGTAATTACACTTTTAAGTACTGAGTAATATCAATTAACAGCTTGTACTTACTGTAGGATTAGGCTTTGGTTTAGGGTTACTTGCATGTAATTATGCTTAATTTACTGTTATAGTAAGTACATGCAACATGTAACAAGGACGATGTAAAATACATATAACAAAAACATAATTTGTTAATGAATACAATACTTCCTCCATTTTATGCCACAACTCAATTAAAAAACAGCTTTTATTTTAAATGAGCTTTTTTATATTTTGGGTTTTTATTTTACTTATAAAGTTTTAGTCATTTTCATTAGTTTTTGTTTTTAAAAATATTTCTATTTAGCTTTATTTTAATTTTAGTTTTAGTCATTTTAATACTTCAACTTATTTTATTTTAGTCACCAAAACAAATATTCTAAATTTCATTTAATTTTTCATATAAAAAATATATTTTAGCTTCAATTAACAGAAATTATTTTAATATATTTAGTTTTAGTTAACTACAATTACACTGACTATTCTAGTTTCATGATTAATTCAAAGTTTCCTTTGAATAACTGTTAGAAAGCTGTTACTAATTCACCAGCTGATCTATATCACAGGAGGTAAACTGCAATGTCAAGTCTGTGTTTGATTAATTCAGTGAGCAGCTGATTTGAGTTCTTCCTGGCTTGTTTGTTTTGCTTCAGGGTGTGCACATGTTCGCCTCATTTGATGGGATTCAAACCCTGATTCAGTAATAAACGGATTACATGGCATGAACTTAATAGCGCTGATGCAGTGTGACACATCCTCCCTGAATCACATGCTACTTTTAGGGGTTAGTGTGAGAGGTTTCATTTGTATGTCTAAAACTTCCTCTCTAGTTTCAATATAGGCCTGTCAGTGCCGCAATCATCACATTGACACATGCTCAAACAAAAAGACCACTGTATTTTGGATTTATTCAATTATCCAAACACATTAGATTAATAAATAGACAAAAATGTTAAAGGGGTCATATGATGCGATTTCAAGTTTTCCTTTCTCTTTGGAGTGTTACAAGCTGATTGTGCATAGATAAGATCCCAAACGTCTGTGTTGTTAATGGTGTTAAAAGCAGCAGATTACTAGTCTGACTGATGGCTTTTCTCTTTAAGATTCACCAGACACTGCAGATGTCACAATATCTCAGCTGCCTGATTGTGATGCTGCTGTTGTGAACTCATTATCACCTTTTTATTTCTTCAGTTCTGCTGATATATGTTCACATTTTATCACAGGGAGAAAAAAAAATTGATAAAATGGTCCTGTTTTCTGACGATTGCAGAGAGCATTAGTTGCTGGTTTCCCCTTGAGAGGGTGATAAGTTCTAGATTTGGCATCCGAATTTATTCAGCGTGTCCTATTTTAGCCACTATAAAGGGGTGCAGTAAAAAGAAATCACACTAACCGCCCTGAATCTGTCAAAATCTTGTCCACGCTGCTGGCTCTAACAGAAAATCATAGCATAATCCTTGGAAATGGCCACTATTTTATTGCCTTCAAGGCAACAGAGGAAGAGAGTTTGTTCAGCAACTAGGCATTATTAAAGCCTAAGAGTTATTTTGCCTGTCTTACACCATATAAAATGATGTCTTTCATGGGATGCACATACTTAAAATAAACTGAATTTTAAATCTTTTTGATCAACCACTTTAACCTTTAATCGTCCCTTGATTTGAGCAACGTTAAAGTCCCTTGGGGTCAGATAGACCCCAAACTTTTACAGAGCGATTGCATAAGGAAATATAAATTTTTTATATGACAAACTATATATCATTTTTTTTATTTACTTCTCAGCTATACATTTATGATGTGTTTTTGTGGATATTTGGTAGTTTTTTTTACCTATTTACTGCACAAATACTCAACTATGCCATAAATTGGCTTATAAAATTTTTTTTAATGAAAAAATCCCTTAAATTATGACCTAAATTAAATATAAAAGGTTTCTGGATATTGACCCATGTGTTAGGGATAGAATACTGCCATTTGCAGGTTAGAGGAAAATCTTTATATAGATTCTCTATAATCTATAATCTCTATAATCTCTATTATAGTTAAAGAAAGAAAGTGCAATGACCACATATATCCAGCAGAGGTCCATAGGGACTCATTCATTTTCAGTTCAGTTTCAAGTCCATTTTTCTTCATGTTTCAACTTCTCACAACTTTATTATATATATTTTGTGAATATATATTTAAACATTCTAAAATACATTAAAAAATCTGTATTTTTATTTGCTATTGACTGTTCAAATGCGGAGTTTTGCATCGTGTGTGTGTGTGTGTGTGTGTGTGAGAGAGAGAGAGACAGGGTCACATCACAGTGGATTCAGCTGTCTTAACCGTGGCTTGTGTACTGCAAACACATACCAGCTTCATCGCTGTCTCTGTCACGCGACTCTGTTCCCCTTTCGGGCTCTGTCTTTACATTTATTTTGAAAGATGAAGCTCGCGATTATGGTAAGGGGCGTTACATTTCTGACGAGTGCTTGCAGTGTTCGGCCAATCACAATGCACTGGGTCAGCTGGCCAATCAGAGCAGACTGCGCTTGTCAAAGGAAGGGGCTTTGTTGAAAACGACGCGTTTGAGAGAGGCGGGGCATAGAGGACCTACAATAATGTACAGATTTTAAAAATAATGTGTTTTTTGAACATTAAAGCATGTCAACATATTCTGTTACACCAAATACACAAAATAATGATCTTTAAAAAAGCATCATATGACCCCTTTAACAAGAGTATGCAAACACCACAACAAAGTGTGTGAAAGCATGAGAGGAAGTTCTTTTACAGCTGGTTTGGCCTGTGGCTTCAGAGGGATTATATGGGGGTGCATATTTGGGGGAGGGATGATCAGGAGAGGCAAGCAGTGATTGGGTTAAACAGGTCATATGACCACCCTAATTGTCATGTTTGCCATTGAAGGCAAAAAAAAAAACGCTGCTCAGGTCAGTATTACATCCGAGTGTAACATCTGAAGCCTACAAAATGTAACTTCATACCAGCTCTTTAAAAAAAAAAACGTACCTGAAATGGCAAATGTGTGAATAAGCATTTTATTCGACATTTAATCACATATTATGAGTCACAGACATTGTGTAATCACCTATATTGTTTAGAAATAGACAAACAATAGACAAACAATCACAATGGCAAAAAGATTCACAATTATAAACCCCTTTGTCTCATATCTATAATAACGGACTGTATATATCTTACATTCCAAGAGGATGCTGTGTTATTATGAACTTTTATATCTGCATTGTGTTCGTACATCGTACATAAGGATTTCTCTGCGCTGTAAGCTTCATAATGGCATTGTTTACCTGGTACACCGAGGCTTTAGGCAGGTCCAGACACACCGTGCAGCACAGCACCGAGTACAGGCGCTCCTCGAGCTTCCCTGCTTCTCCTTCCTGCTGCCTCACGCGTTTCTTGGGCGGCGCGTCCGGGTCGGCCTCGGTACCAGAACCGTCTCTCCGCACACCGGACTCCTCCTGGATACCCGCCAGTCCGCTCCCCGGGCCAGCGTCCAGGGCGCCCCCCACAGGACCGACACCCAGACCCGATGATGAGGAGCCTGGCGCGGCCGCGACGCCTAATTCCATTCGCTCTTCCATCGAAGACATCCGACTGAGTCACCGGGGATATTTGGGCTGACCGAACACAGGCTCCGCTGATTGTCAGGGTGAGATTTCCAGGATTTTTCAAGCTACTTGGCTGGCCTGTAATGATGGGGGGTCTGGACAGCCAACAATGCACTCAGTTAAACCATCAAGCGTCAGTTCAAATAGGTGAATTTTGGGTAATATGACACTAAGTTATGGGACAATGAATAGAAATTCATCTGTGTTTTACTGCGGTTTGGTGTGCATGGATGCCTGTATATTTTGGATAGATCTCAGATAAGCTTCAGCTCTCAGCTTGTGCAGAGGGAGAAAAAAACAGCTAAGACTCAACAAAACAACAGGCTGTTGTTTAGTGCCGTTATCCGCCGTGACAGCACGCGCACAGCGACTCTCCGCGACCCAGCCGGGCTCTTCTCCTCCGGTCCACCTTCCGATAACAACCGAACCACTCCGACGCGATCCGGATTCGCCCGAAAGCCTAAAAGTTATGTTTACTGCAGAGTCTCTCTTCGATAGTCCTTCCCTTAATCTACACTGCCATCTTTTTTTTTCCTGTCTGTCTCCTCCTCTCCCCCTGTCCGCCTGTCCCTCTCTGATTCCGCCTATCCGAGCTCGGTTTAGTCGGAGCGGGGTGAAGATCAGGCGAATACCGTCGACCGTTATTGATCTGTCAGTGAATGCGTCGCCACTAGTAATGATGGCCGTTCTGCCCTTCTCTTTCGCGCTGTCTGATTGGCTGCAACACATGCTGCGCTTCATCAGATGACTGGGGATATTTAAAGAGCTATGCGTTGCGCATGCGCATCGGCCTCCTACGGGTCATGGCTGAAGCTTTTTTTAAGAGAAAGGTGACCAAAAACTTTTGTTAGTTGGATAGTGGGATGCTTGGTTTTGTTAGTACAGTTATTTTCAATTTTACTGTGCTAGTTTGTCGTATTATTGTCGTGGTGATTATATTTTAAAGTAAGATTAATAGATGACAAAACCTTTTCATACCTTAACACCCCTCATATGCGACAAAATGGCAACGTCATCGTGGGGCATCATTCAAAATTATCATACTTGACAGAATAGTAAATGCAAGACCTGAATAAATTATTTGATTTGGTATGTAGGTTTGAAAAATGTCAAGTGTGGTCTTTTAATTTATTTTAATTTATTCCTTTTCATTTTATTTTGACCCGAAACTAGAGTGAGCCCCGGGGGGAGGGGAAACGGCCTCAGCCAATCAAATGTCGAGGTCTATGATGGACTAGTTTGGTCAAGACAGCTGTCAGTCTTGACTGCCCAGTTTGAATGAGCTGTGTGTTTCACTGGGGGGATGGGATGGGAGTGTGTTTGTATGTGTCTTCCTGATTACTGGACTGGATACTAAAAAATATGACTTATAATATGCATGCAGCAATGTAATACATAAGGTATTAGTAATGAAGCTGAGATTAATAATTTGTTATTTGCACATTACAACTAGTACACTTAAAATAGCACATTTCACAACTTTGGGCTTGTTTTGAGACATACCACAATGAAGGTTGAAAGACTGAAGTCACCTGACAAGGACAAAGGCTTTATTCATTAATAATTACTCTGAACAACTTGATATCTCAAAAATGGTAAGTGTTAAAACAAAAGGTGAACAGAAGGAAGAAAATAAACATTTTTATCATAACAACATTATTTTAACATTTATACAGTACTCAAAATGTTTCAAAAAGACTTCTGATTTGCAATACAACTTTTTAGCTTATTACTAGTTAGTCAACCCAACTAACATTCCCACAAACATTGGCAGAGGCCAAGCTTGACCGATACATTTTTGATACATATTAAAAATGAAATGCCTTTCTTTTAAAATAACAGATGAAGATGAAATACAGAATAATCAGAGGTTTTTACATACAAAAACAACAACACAACATAAATTGTCCTTACTACTTACTGCCTGTATTCAGTAAATAATGTCTCGTAATAATAGTTACTTAAATGTCCCAGATCATTTCATTAGTGACCTGTAAGCACACACAGAATTTATACAGAATTCTGAAATTCAAATTAGTTTTTTAAATATTGGATTATACATTAAGCTGCCAAGAAGAGTGCACTATAAGCGCCTTTGAATACATTTAACCATATTTACACTAATTCAGCAGATTTCCCTCCATAATGAGTGCAGAAATGTGCAGATCAGTGCAGATTTCATCAGTGCCTGGTGATCAGGATAAAAACAGTGAATTCTCAGTCAGAATCAGTGCTAAGAGTATACGTGTAGGTTTGAGAGTATGAGAAGACACTAGATGTTATTTACTATGGAGTATTTTGTTTATGTTTTTTTTTTCTTTTTTCTCAGGTGTACCGTCCCACTTTGGTATGTTTCACATGGCTTGTTTAGTTCTGACTCTTTTAGTCTTTTCATATATCATTGGTTTCTTCTAGTCACTTGTTTATGCTGCGGCTTCTTCAGTCTTCACTGCCCGCTAACTAAGTCATTTCTCAGCAGGTCACTCTTGTGGTCACTCTTGTTTTGTGTCAGTGTCTTCTTGCTGTGCTGGTTTCTCAGGTTTGTGCTGATCTGTGGTATATTGCTTGTTCGTGGTGGTGGTGGTGGTGTCTTCTGCAGTTTGTTGATTGCTTGTCATGTTATGAATCTCTTGAATTTGCTGGTCTCTGTCATGCATGTTAATATCTGGTTCATAATTATTATTATTTAGTATGTTCTCGTAAATTTGTGCTGCATGACATTTCTCTGCCAACATTTCTGGTTTGCTAGAATCATTCTTATTTTCACCACTTTCCACCTGTCTGCTCAGTTTCTGCTGGTTGCGCCTCTCAGCTGTGGAGTCAGTGGCTTTTGTCGCCCCCTTATGGTATTTTTGTGCTGTTGCATGCTGAAGCCAGTGGTGCTGCAGGGTTTGACTAGCTGTCAAACGCCTTTTCGGGTTGACCTCCAGCAAAGCCCTGACTAGAGCTTTAGCCCCTGGAAAACACAGACATCAGCACTTATCATATTTCTAGATTACAGCATCTAAATTACAGAATATATGAAGGGTTAAACGGAATGAGTGGCGGCGCGTTCACACGCTGCGGCTTCTCTCATACTTAATCTGTATATCTGTATTTATGTTCTACTGTTAGTGTTATCTGTATGCACCAAGGGTCTGAGAGTAACGCAATTTCAATTCTCTGTGTGTATGTGCTGTACATGTGGAAGAATTGACAATAAAGCAGACTTGAACTTGAACTTGAACTTGAATAGTTCAACCATTAATGAAAATTCTCTCATTTACTCCACCGTTGAATAAAGCGCACAAATTGTAATGACTTGGTGCAAACTGTAATGGAGCTTCTTGAAAGAAAGTATGCCATACGAGTTTAAAAACAATATGGGATTGAGTAAATGATGATAGACTTTACTTTTTTGATTGATCTAACACTTAAATCAGTGTTATGTTTTGTATGGGGGTCAAATGCTGGAGTTCAGTATCTCACCCTCAGATACATTATCCCAGTAAGGGGACAGAAAGTGGACTTCTCCTTTCTGGATGAGACGGAATAGTTCCTCTTGATTACGATCTGGACTGCGGAACGGAGGAAACCCGCTCAGCAGGACAAACAGTATGACACCCATCGCCCAAACGTCTACTCCAACACCGTAACCTGTTCATACATAGACATATACATATGCATAGCTGAACATTTGAAATATCATGTTAAATGTTAGTGTCAGATCATGTTACTAATAGTTTTAAACCTTAGTGTTTGAGATTTTGGACAGAGAATTTACAAATGGCCTACATTTACAAGCTGTAGCTTGGGTTTTTTGTGTCCAACCAGTCCCAGCTCATCTAAATGTACAGACTTTACCTATCTCAGCAAGTATCTCTGGAGCAACATATGTAGGTGTGCCACAGACTGTGAACACTGGCTCCGTTACCACCATGGCTAATCCAAAATCAGCCAACTTCAGATTCAAGCATCCATTGCCATGACGCTGTACCTAAAGAAACAAAAAAGAGATACAATATGAGCTGAATATTATATATTATATTATACTTCTTTTTAAATACATGTCCAATTTTCAAAATGATGAATAAAGTAGCTGGTTGCAAAGTACTGCAGGTTTTTTGAGGTAATGAGCTACTTGTTCCAACGAGTGGCGCTGTAGCGCGAACAAACTTTACATCGCTGCTTTTATCCACCTTTTTCTTGTGGTAAAAATGGGCGCGGCCATTTGTAAATTCTATGGGTCTGGCTTCCGGTCTCATCTGCGTCCACTCCGTCCAGCTATTTTTAGCTGAACAAAACCGTTCGTTTTGCTGCTTGATATTGAAAGTTGGTGTGTCTTATCATATTATTTTAATGTATTATCTTAATTATGAACACACTGGTTTGTAGTGCAAACAGTTTTACCGTTTACTGCACGTTGTTATTCTCCTGGTTATTTACCTATAGCGGCTAATGAACCGGAAGTCTCACCCATATCCACGTTGAAGAAAAAGGTGGTATCCACTCTGTGTGAGAGTTGAGGGAATAATGGCATGTGCTCACCAACCAATCCTTCTCGTCGAAAAGTCCGATTCTAATAAATAGGTTAATCTTAAACAGTTTGCTCTCATATGTAGTGTTGGAAAGTCAGATCAATTTAATTTCATTGAGTTGTTTGGATGTTTTATGAAAATGAACACACTCACGAGTCCCTGTTCCTATACTATGTACGTTATTAATGATTCACCGATTCCTTATGTAGCTACCTGCAACGATTCACCGCTTGCCTATCCGATTCTCATGTTTTTAACTAGTTTGTCATTTTTCTCGTATTTAGTATTAATGTTATATAATTTGTTTCTATTATAATTTATAAAAAATGGTGGTAGTCTATGAAATGTTTAACTTTTTTGTATTGTATTCTAACGTTGTTAATGTTAAGCAGTGTTAAAACTAAAACTATTAAAAATCATTTTCAGTGACTGAAATAAAGTTGAAATGAAATAAAATATAAATAACAGATGAAAAATGTAAACTTAAAAACGAAAATGATGTTGCCTTAGCAATTAACTGAAAG